ATTTATTTATTCGTAAGATTTGTATGGTCCCCCCGTTTTAAACACAACTCTGGGTGGCTCATGACGACGATAAAACCCAGTAACTATAAAATCAAAAACCCTAAAACCAGAAAATAAGCAATTAAAAAAAAAAAACGATTGTTTGATCTGGCTCCAATCGAGTTTGGATCTCCATCGTCCGAGAAAAGGAAAGAGCAGTGCGAAACGCAACAGACTTTTTTCTCTTGGGGTTTAATAGCCAAGAATAATGGCGACAAGAATAAACTGATGATGGTTTAATAGCCTCTGGACTGAAAAACGGACAGCTCTAAGCTTTCATAGGTCCTATCGGATTTTTGAAGCAACTTTCATGAGAATCCTCTCCGGCGTTTTACAGATTTCAGCCGATCGAGGGAGAAAAGAAGATTTCAAGAGCGAAAAATTCGTAACCACGCCGTTCGTTCGGGGCCGACACCCAGAGGACACGTTTTTACGCAACTGTAATGAAAAGGCAACATTTCTGGCCACAGAGATGTGGGCTGGCCGAGGGCAGAGATGAATTTCAAAAGGGAGTGGATAAATTTATGGTGGAAAAGTAGTGTAAAAAATGTGGAACACCCTTATCCAGGCATCATCTACCTTTGATGGGTGTAGTCTGAAGGGGTTTCTGAAGGACACAACGGCTATGCTCAGGGAATATGAGTCCAGATGGCTACCAGGCTATAATTTAAGAAAAGTACAAGTAATTTTTTTTTTCTCGGATTGGCGATTGCTGAGTTCTTCCATCTCCCACCCTGTTTTTCCCCCCATGTGGAATTTAGATTGTAAACTCCTTGGGGCCACTCGAAACACATACCAAATCTTCCCAACGGTTTCCCCCCCTTCTAAACTGGTGGCACCCGCTGCCACGTCTTGTGGCAAGGAATTCCACAGGCCAAGAAGATACAACTTTGTAGGGGGGGGAATCTGCAACTTTCTCCTTTCTGTTCTGCTGAAATCACCCGGCCCCAAACCGAAACTCGCGCAAGCAGCCGCGGAGATCTTCCGGGGCACAGCCGGGCGACGATCTTAATGCACTGCCTTTTTCTCCGGAGTTGACTTCATCCATCTTCTTCCCAATGTGGGCTAGACAGAAAGGGTGGATTCACACGACCTGCTCGTTTAGGCTAAAATGGTATAGGTTAGGCTAGGCCATGTCATTTAGACATGGCGTGAGCGTGCTGGGCAGAATGTGGTTTATTCACTGAAGCGCTGCCGTCTTTCAGGAACCTGAGTTGGCAGGGCTGTGCGAATGCGACAGAGCAAGGTTGTACAGGGAGAAACGTTGGATTGACCCCCTTCTCAGAAATCAGTTTCTTCTTCCAAGCAAATGGAAGAGAAGAAGGACAACGAGTAGGCAAGGAACTTCTATCCTCACCAAGACTATGGTGGACGGGACTAGGGACGTGCCACATGGAAAATGCTGCTTTCCACGAAAAATTTAAAGGGAGACCTGCAAGTCATGGCGCTGCAGGAAAATTATCTGCTGCAGAGAAAGCCCCCACCGCTCTTTCTGGCCTGGGTTTAAAACTTGAGCCGTTCCTGAACTCGGCTGCTCCCAAATTAACAGGGAAGGTAAGTAGCACTCATCTAGGGAAGAAGAAACTACAGATGCCCTCCAATGGCGCTCCTCTCCTTATAACCCCACCCAGGCATTCCTCTTGGCTACGTTGCGGACGTGTCTTACCCCTGCCTTCTTCTGGCATGGGTTTTCAAAGGCTCAGGCTAGCTGGCGCAACTGAGATCTCCTGGTGGTGTCCCTTCCCTGTACTACCCCACCTGGATCCTGCTTTGCTTTTCAGATCAGCCAAGGCTGATGCAGAATTTCTTTCCCCTGAGGGCTTCAGGCAGTGGTTCTTGATCCATTTGACCCAATGACCTCTTTCCCCAGTCCCAAATAATGTCCTTACCCCCACAAAAAAAACTCCAGATCCCGTTATTTTACGGAAACATCCCGAACTGGATCTTTGGCTCACAGACAAGCAATTGTGCATGGCTCCATTACCGCCAGAATATGCCCAGATTACCCCCAGTTTAAGAACCACTGCCTTAAGGAACTTCTCCTTATTGATAGAAAGACAACTCAGTTATTGGAAAGGAGCAGATGGAATATCAGAAAGGGAAAAACACTGCGAAAAATGGACGGAAACATATTTCCTGCATCCCCTGAAGATCACAGTGGGGTTTTAGAAATCCCACGGGAGCGTCTAAGAGGCCATTCATGGACTGTAGATCGCCACGTTAGGGTTGTCTCCCGATTAGCCTGGTTTGGGGTAGGGAAAAATCTTGGCCATCATCTGCGACCAATTTTTTAAAGTGAGCCCAGGAGCAATTGAATCACTGGAGTGTGAGCCATCCAACAGCTGGAGATATTTCCTTGTTTAGAAATCTCTCTCCTTGTTTAGAAATCTTTGCAATTGGAAAACTTGCAAAGGGAAAAAAGAAGGAGAAGAAAACTTGCAAAGAGAAAAAAAGAAAGAGAAGAAAACTTGCAAAGAGAAAAAAAGAAAGAGAAGAAAACTTGCAAAGA